TTCCATCACATTATGAAATCTCAGTAGGACTGCCTTAGTTATTTATCCATTGTAATGCTTTTTCAATATCCCAGTAACTTTATTATATTTTTCTTATGGGACTTCACAAGTGTAAAACATCTGAAATATTAAAGTGGGCAATACATTCAGACGGACGAACCTCCTCCACTCTTCATTTATGACCGATACAAAAACCACTGCAAAACGTTTCACCCACACAAGATCACGTTAAGCGCGACATACATTACGAAACGACAACTTAGGATATTACATTTGAGTTTATATGGATCATACACCTGAAGATGGTTCATTTAGAACCGAAACATGTAGTGTAAAAGATGATGCTCTAATGTAAATCGAAATATTCGATAGAGAGCATCATTTTAATATATTTTAAATGTTAATTGTAATATTTTAACATTTAATAATAATATTTTATTGTTTATTTGACTGATAAAATTGAGCAAGTATGTAACTTGCCTCCTTAAACTCAGCAACCTGTCTCTGGGAGAACATAGAGAACACATTGCTTCCTGTACGCTTGGCCTTCCTGGAGCCTCGAGAGCTCTGCCTGTTGGGCTCAGCTGAGGGGGCAGGGGCTGGGGCAGCAGCAGGGGCAGGTGCAGCTTCTGCAGCTGGTGCCTCATCTTTTGTCTTCTTCTTCTTCTTCTTCTCCTTGTCCGCCTGTGAATATAAAAACAAATGTTTAACTGTATTTTATTCAGACATTGCAGATTAAACTCACGGTAAAACAGGACCGAAAATTGATAAATTGCTATTGAATATAATTAAAGAACATAGACCTATCATCACCGTTTGAGTACTGTGCAGCTTCATCCGATGTCTTAATGATAATGGTCTTCTGGGTTATGATGCCATGTAGTCCTATAAGTGGTTACCAGTGGTTCAGAGAGACATAACATCTTCATCTTCAGAGGTGAAATTCATCTTTACTTCAGGCAATACAGACAATATGTTCCTCCAAATTCTTGGTAACCAAATATAAGACTCCACGGTACCACGACCCAGAAGACCACAATTGACATATTCACTGTTGTTAGAACCTCATCTTTCAAAAGCTGAACTATGCTTCTGTGGGCGTAAATTGTTGGCTGAATTTACATATTGATCTGTTTAAAAACCATATCACATGTAAAACTTTAAAAGGCTTGTAAATTGTAGTTATTTTATGAATCACCTGTCAGAAACATGATTTTAAAATAAAGAGCAAATTTCTGGGATGCCTTGTAAATAAATTTACAGTGTTTTTGAGAGTATGAAGAAATCTAAGTGTAAAAGTCCAAAATAAAGAACGATTTCCAATTGATATCCATATTTATGAACTGGTTTGCAATTAGCATCGTTACTAAATTGCAGTTATTCTGAAATTAATAATCATCAGATTTATGTTGTGGTGTCAGGTGACACGCGTTCTGCTTTTCCGGCATACTTTGAATGAGCGGCATCAGTTTGGCTATGTTTAGCGATGTGTCCTGGCAGAGAGCCTGGGAGAATATAAATACACCGAGATACATCACCACAAGGTCTAGGTATAAATAGACCCACTAGTGTGAATTTTGCGATGACTTTAAATTGGCATATGGCCTTATATCTGTTCCATGATTTTCACCCACTGTAGGGCAAATAGTTTGTGCACGGGCACACCAACTATCACATTACATAAAGCAGTATGTGTAATAGTGTGTGGCCATGGCCTGAGTGGTCAGCATCACGCCCCGGCCGGCTTTACCCCTGGGAAAGTACCCTGGTACCCATTGGGTAGGAGGCTAGGTGGGCCCCAGAAACGGTCTGGATGCAGAGACTAGAGGATAAACAATCCTCTGCCCCCCCATCGGGGATTGCCCAGTCCGTAGCCAGTCGCTATGCTGACTAAGCTACGCCGGCTCATTGTTCTTATGAGAGTTCAAGAAAATCTTTTCCTTTGTCGTGTGTTAATAGACCAACTTGGAAATATGTATTTAACCCCCTAGAACACAGTGGTTACTATATGTACCACCTGCTTTAAGATTCAGTAATCCCTTATTTTGCCCACAGAGTGTACTTATGGCTTTCATTTGATTCTCAGAGTAAACAACATTAACCAGTTGATATCTGTTAATGATGAGAAATATTATATTTTCTTTGAGCTAGGAACTGAATTTTTAAATGTTACTTAGATGAGCTTTGTGCTTAAAGTGGTTCAGTGTTATTATTTAAGAACTAAACAAGTGCTGTGATGTATAAAGTGAAGCTTTCGCAGCGACTGAAGTTGATGAATGATTCTTGGAGACAAAAAGGTTTTGGTTTTAAAATGAAAAAATTGTAGATCTGTAGAAGTTTCTGCTCAACCAGTGATAAGTTTGTCGTTCCACTGCTTAAGCAGAAATAAGCGCATCTGTTTTTTACAACAGAGTTTTTCCTTTATTTCTTTCTTCTGAGAAGTTACATTTTTGCACGTAAAGAACTTTACCTGTAGGCACCACTCAGAAGATCTAGGTGTAGATGTAATGTGCTTACAGTGGATGTGGGGGAAGTAGTGTTGGAAGTTGTGGATTGGATTCTTCTGGCTTAGGATAGTGACCAGTGTCAGGTTATTGTGAATACACGAATGAACCTTACAGTTCCATAAAAGTCAAAATTAAGATGTTTTTGAATGTAGAAACTTTGGCTTCAGTTTATATTTATTGTGGATCTGAAATATGCATTTATATTTTTCATAATATGTTAAGTGTTTTGCATTAACGTGATATAATTTATATCACGTAGAGGTAGAAACATGCACGTAATATGAAAGTAGAAGCTGTTTTGAAAACGATAACTTTTAAAACAATTAATGTAATATTCCATAAAGTTGACCCCAGGGTGCTCCAAACTCACTTCTAGTTTGCCATAAGTGACTCCTACATTGAAAAGCACTCACATATTAAGTTTACCTTTAAGTTACGCAACAGGCCGTGTGTGTAATTTGCTCGTCAGTGTGAATTCGGGAATGATTTGGAAGTTTTACTTCTACACAGCTTACGTCATCCCTGTGCTAAAATAATCTTGCTTCAAATTGTTTCATAACGCACAGCGCAAGTCCCCAACTCCCCCCTCACTACTGCCCCAAGAAATAAAACTTTTTGAAGCTTCCACTTGCTTAAAATATATCGCCAACTTCTGAATCACTCACTAGCTTGGATTTCAGCTTGCTAGAAACCTCCTAACTGCTATCAAGTCTAGTACAACACGTGTAGTAGTTTCATAACTTCATTTTTAATAATCATTGTGTTGTGTTTTGAAACTTTTCGTATGAGAAGATTTCTTTAATGTAAAACCTGGGGTATGTGCTACCTAATAAGGATTTTCTTGTCTCCAATGCTTTTGCAATCACGGAAGTAACTTTCGTATCCCAACGAGTGACTTTCCTTTATCGGATTTAAATGCCATTGAATTCGCGGTCTGCCAATTTCAGACAACATATTGAGGACGTCATACCAGACGGGCGTATCAACAAAATGGCGGATTTACAGAAAACTAAATTCTTACGCCTATTTGGTTTGACAAATGCGCACTATTAGTGTTCATACGCCAAAACGTTACTGTTTCTCTGTGCAGAGTAGCATCGGCATTACGTCTATGCCTACATTTTGCAAAATTGAATTCGGTTAGGTGATGGTAAGCAGGTATTGTGAAACCCTCTGCGAAGAGGTGGTATTATCGAAGGCGGAAGTCCGAATTTTACCGGTGCAGATCTAGAGGCACAGAGCTGGGAGTCACACCACTAGATGTACCATGTCTTAGAATTATTTTGTTATTTTTGCTTATATGTGGTTCCATATTTAATTTTCGTGTTGAAATTGTTTCTCACAGGGGGAGGAAGAATAAGTTAAATATCTGAATACCTTTAATAGAAATAGAGGAGACAGAATTAATGTATAATGTACATCGAAACTGATTTGCGAATATTTTAACAGAAATAAAAGGCCTGTTCTATGTTCTAAATTGAATCGTGCGATTGAAGACGTTAATGTTATATTGATTGTACTTAAGTATTCTTTTCAGTCGAGATTGATGGGAACACACCCAGTGTTGGTAGCACTGCAGTAGATCCCAAGATGTAAATAGAAACTCACATTATCGTAACTTAAACAGCAAAACACTCGAGAATCTCACTGTCTACTTGTTCTGAATTCTCATGACGTGCTTGTGGTTTAATGTGTATTATCAGGCATATTGTCGTGTGGGTAAAGAACGGTATGCATTGTTACTACTCACCATTGTGTACTGATGTGTTCGAAGAAGAGACGACCCTCTGTAGTTGTTCTCTGTTGGAGGAGGCCCTGCCCACTGAGCTCTCGATGTCTTTTCACTCTAACCGATACCCTCAAACCCTCCTTCCCCTCCACATCGCCGCTGTTCCCTTCTCCCATCACCCTGCAAGAAAGGAGAACGTACCTAACCTTATTTAGAGGTGACGCCGAAATAGAGCCAGCTAGTGAAATAATGAGGCCGACCATTGACTTCGGTGGCACTGTCAAAAATTGGCAACAATGGCGTCAGAGAATAACTTGTATCTTTGAGTTATCTAACCAGCTCCATGGTTCAGAGTCCAGCGTTTGGAGTCTTTCTTCAATAGTTGGTCGTTACTAGGTGTTCTAATAGTATCACTGCATCTACGCCTAGATCTCCGAGACAGCCTCTAGTTTTCTGTCTTTATTAGTTGTTTCCTCATCACGTACCGTTTATCTAAACAATACTGGGTGGGGAATTCAAAATGTGTCTATTAAAAATAAAAAAAATATTTTTGAACTCGATAGAACGACTCCAGTGCACGTCTTATGTCATTTAATGCTTCGGTTTTTGTCGTGAGATAAGCAGAAATTTTACGTTAGTAAGTAGACAGTTTTTGGTGTAAATTTTTATTCGCAATTTTTAATAGTACAGATGTCCACTGTGCTAGCTTTGTCAGATGTAAAGTAGATATTGGTTTCGCACCGTCATCGTTAACTTTGTTATTGGTTTTATTATTTATTTAAACTTGTATTCTTCTGTCTGCTTTATTGGTATGATCTTGAAACGAAGGA